TTTTTTTAAAATATCACACAATATTAAATACCAGACACACTAGTTAATTTTTTTTAAGATCATGTGAAGTGAATTCAACATATAAATGTTTGTTGACATTAAGTTACAGAGTTCATTTACTTCATACTTTCTAAAAACCATTTATTTAATAGATAATGAACTTTAACTTATTTTAGCATTAATACAAATATAATATGCATCATATATATGACTTAACAATATACTCCCTCTGTGTGACACCACACCCGAACGTCCTTGAAATTCAATTTAAAATTCAAAGTTTATGTATTGATTTTCCCTATTATCAAACAAATTGTAAAACAGTTAATGTTTTACGAAATGCATGATTGATTGTAGTATCGTTTGGGCTCGTATTATAATGATGGTGGGCTTCCGAACGTTTAATTGGGATATTTTATTAAATATAAGAGCACAACAGCATGTAAATAAGGATACATAATCTTTTGATACACGGTAAGAAAGGTCGAGCAACCCAAATGTTATTTTGGGCCCAACCTGCTAAAAATAGTAAGTATTTGAAAAAAGACGTCATAGGCCCACTCGAGGGTAGCCCACATGGCTTGTAGTCCAAGAATATAAATGCAAAGGTCACAAATAAGTGATAAGATGATTAGAGAAGAATACAAATTCCCATGGTCTCATCTTTGACATTATTGAGCTAAATAATGTGAGTAGGGTTTTCTTCTATAATTATACAACATATAAATTGTTGGTATTATCCTACACATATTAGATATCAATAATATGATGTAGAAAGTAGACTTGGTCTAAATAAATTAGAATGAGTACAAAAAGACATTCCATGACAAAAGATAAAACAATAGAACTCATTCTCCCATTTTTGGAAATATTGGTTGATATTTTGCTTCCAAAATAATTAGGAAACAAAAGGGCGCGTCCCACACCTTAGCTTCCTAGCACCTGCAAGACAAGTAAAATAATGTTAGATGGGGGCTGGGGCGGCCATAGTTGACTTGGGGGCTGAACTTGACAAAAGAAATCAAGGAGGGAGACCCACCCATGTCAAATACAACTCATGGAGATCATACCCTCTCTCGCCCTCATTTTCTTCCAACCATTGAATTAGATAACATTATTGAGGGTCTTGAGATCTTCCTATCACATTCCATTCGAACTCCCAAAGTGATTAGAGGAGAAGAGAGCCACACAAACTCAAGAAAGCAAGGTAAGGGAAAACTGCCGCAAGATTTATTTCTGGTGCGTAGGGTTGCTTGTTCACTTCATATCTTGAGCTTCAATCGTCCAAACTAAGCGTGTGAGATGTCCACGGAAGTATATAAAGATAAGGAATCCGTGAAGATGAGATTTGAAACAAACGGAGTAGTGGAAGCGGATTTGTCTCTCCAAAGTGAGTTTGAACCCAAAACCTTCCTTTTCATTATCTAAATGATATGAACGATTGGTGGAACTATTATACGCTATTTTAAGTGTATAATATGTTCTTTATAAGGCTACTTTATTGATGTAAAGGTTAAATACTAACCCAGAACAAACCTTGAAAGGTTAGGAAACGAATTCGCCGGAAAACACCCATTCTAGGGGTTGTTTTCGTACCATTGGTCAGAGGTTGAGATAGCAGCTTGAGGAGGATGCCTAGAACTCATTTCTAAGCAAGGAATAAGTTCTCAACCTACCTTGGCCGAAGCTTTGACCATTGGATAAAGAAGGAAAAGTTTAAAGCTTATTCGAGGTGAGGATCGACATCTAGTTGCTTACAACTTGTAGGTTAAGCATGAGATTACATAAATGTCTAAATCATGTTTTCATGGATTATAATGCTTAAATATTGATAAATTTGATAAGTAATGAATTTGATAATGATTTGAGGCCATATTGAAAATATGGAGTTAAATGAGCTATTAATGAACTATTATGTGAAATATGCATTTTCGCTCATGTATGAATTGTGTAGATACATAAATGAATATTTATGTATTGAAACTGTATACTTAAGTTGCTTCCACATATCTCTAATTATGTAGGGAATTACAAATGGGAATATTTGATTTGATAACAATAATCTTAATAGTATTGAAGTTCTAGTTAATGATTGTTGGTAATTGTTAATAGAATTGATCCTAAGGTTTGGATTGTATGTAATGCACTTGAATATATTTCAAGTGTCTAAATTGATTTAGTATGAAGCTAAGATCAAGTTATGGGCAGTCCTTAAGGATGAGCCGAAATAGTTATTGATAGGACAATACTAGGCATAGGTTTGCTTAGGAATTGGGCTTTGATGCCTGGTGATGTAATAGAGCCGAGCTCTAGGATGCATGGTGAGGTGGTAGACTTGTAGTATATGAATTGTATAGCTAGAGACGAGCTCTAGGGCTTGCACGGTGATGTAATAGAACCGAGCTCTAGAATGCAAGGTTAGGTATTTGACCCGAATGATATAAGTTGCATGATGATGTAATAGAGCCGAGCTCTAGAATGCGGTGATGTATTAGGGTTGGACTCTATGAGTTGTCGTGACTTGCAGTCACGGGGAATGAGAATGGTGATTTCTAAATAAACATGGGCCCACAGGCCGAATACTTGACTTTATATAAAGTAAGTATGTTTTCAAATGGGGTAACTTGGGGGTTACGACCCATATAGTATTATGACCCTATTTGAGGCTCTTGTGTTTGAAATACTTGTTGTATATCTATTATATGCCACCCACACCAGTACTTTATAGCCCTATAGAGTATTGACCCCTTCAGGGGCGTCCCACCACCATTTCAGGTTGAGACTGGAGCTTGCTTTCTGTGCTCGTTGCTCGGGTAATTATATCGGAGAAAAGACTTGGTTCGTGCTTCCTCCATTCTATTTTGAACATTAATAAACTTGCTCATGAATATTTTACTTTAGAGCCTGCGTGCTCATGTTTACCCCGTGTGGCATATGTTTTCAAACTATGTTTTCCGCTGCGTATTGAATTGCTTATTATGTTTGTTTATGGATGACTTATGTGTGAATGATATTCGAGACGTATTGTATAATATGGATGTGTTTGACTATGGTTGAGTATTCGTATTGTACGGCGGGTTGTTGACGTGTCCGGGTAGGTCTAGGGCGTGACACCCTGCCCCCTATAATTTTCCATTTTTTCATTTTGAATTAATGTCCCCCCTATTATTGTCTCATACCATATTTGGTAACATTTGTGTAACTCTAATTCATTCTTACTTTATTCCCACTTTATCAACTCATTATCAACCACATAATTTTACTTTCCTTAAAAATCACACCACTCCCTTCCGTCGCAATATTAGAGGGAAAGGTGTATTTGAACCGATCCAGCCGGTCTTCACCCTTACTAAAATACATGTTTGCGCCGCTTTACAATTTGGTTGCCAGGCCGAAACTCTAGATTGATCTAGGCTTTGATTGTGCAGTTGATTAAGCATTGATCGGGCAATTCACCAAGACAGGAACACATCAAAATGGCTGAGGTATATTCTGGATGAGTGATTGGAACACTATGTGCTTATAACTTGTATGTGTACATATGTTTACTTAACATTTTTTTGAATAATATAAAATGTTGTTTGTTTTATGTACACAATGTCTGATATAGAAATATTTAGTGGAATTATTATTTAGATTAAATGTCAGGGATCTAGTGGACCTATGTAAACCTATTAGGAATCATAATTGTGATTACATATGTTTGATACAGACACAGGCCACAGTACGCCTATTATGCCTGAACGGGAGCTGCGAAGACAATATGTGCTTAAAAGGGGCGTGAGAGCTTGACAACGTTATTTGTGAATGGATAGACCTTAGAGGTTGATTGAAGCTGAAACAAATATATATATATATATATATATATATATATATAGTGTCACCTTCCCTCACTAGTACCAGTTGTATTGACCCCTCCAAGGCCCTCACTAATACTTTCAGGTGGAAGCTTGAGCTTGTTGCCTGCACTCTTGCAGAGAGTAGGTGTGCTCGAGTGAAGACTCAATTCGTGCATCTGCGTTCTGTTTTAAACTTCACTTAGAAATGCTCATGGACAAATAATATTTTTTATTTTTGTATTGGGCTCGTGTGCCTGCATTATGCCCTGCGTGTCTAATTACTATTTTAACTATTATTTTCTGTTGTATAACGATAGAATATTTGTAGTTTATTTTATTGTCATAGGATGCTTAGTGTGTCTGATAAACGTGACGCGTTGTTTAATTCGGCAAGGGTAGACCATGGTTGCCCTTAATGAGTTATACGGCGAATGTCGACGTTGCCGGCGGGTCCAGGGCGTGACGTTATATTTGCATTTAATTTATAAACTTATTTATGAAAATATTTTGGTTAAGGATCATTTTGGTATAATTTTTATATCAAAAATATTTCATGTTAAAAAATATCATTAGTCAAAGTTGACTATCATTAACCAAGAAAATTCAATTTGACAAACCTTTTCGGGACGAATAGAGTATGTTTCTACATGGATACAATAAAACGAAAAAGATATCAATAATCATAATATATTTGCATAGGTCATTGCCACAAATATAATGAATGAAAATGATAACAATGAGTCAAAATATAATGATGAGTCGTTGTAGACATAATTGACCAAAATGAAACGAAGCAATTCAGGTAGGATTAAAATCTCTATAAAACATGATATTTTTGGACCATTAGTCTAAACGCCAATAGGAGTACAATATGTGAGTTTAAAAGGGTTATTGTGCGCAAACATAATGAGAAAAAAGAAATCATGAGATATAAAGTCTCACTTGTTGCTAAAAGTTTTTCTAAAATGCTAGACATTGGTTATGAGGAAACTTAATTATATTCCAGCAGTTGATAAAACTACTATACTTTAAGATTTTTATTCGGCGTATCTATTATATAAATATTGCAAATGCGCTTAATGGGTCTAGTGTCTGCATATTTATACGAGTCACTCGATATAGACATATAATGAAAATTCTTAAAGAATTTAAACTAGCTACCCGGTGCCGCTTTTAGCTCAAAACTAGAGACTTATTTTCCATAAAAATTGAAATGTCATTATATGGACTAAACCAAACTAGACGTGTGTGGTATAATCGCCTCAATGAATATTTGATGAAGAACGGATAAAAAAAGTATGTCATTATAGTTTTTCGTATGAGTAATTACATTAATTTAAGCGCAAATTCTGATGAACTGTTGCTTAACTTGACACATACTCTAGCACCTTTGTACACCTTTCCGGCTCGACAATAATACCCCTTACTGGGAGCGCAATGAGAATCTTGTGAACATATACACAACCCTTCGGAAGCGCACCCATCTTTTATTATGGTCAATCCTTCTTTGAGACCCAAAATCTGATCAGTCCAATCACTCGAAAACAACCCTGAAGGATCATACTTTTCCTTAACCTTCAAAAACTCATCAAACTTTGCATACTTGTTGATTGCCCCTATAAAAGCAACATTTCGGTTCTTCCCCCAATGTGGCAAGGCGCCATACTTAAAAACTGCGAGTTGCTCGATTTCTTCTAAGACGTCTTGATAAAGCCTCGGGGCCGTAGGATCTTTGCTTCGATAGTAGGTAATGTCGAAGTCTATGGCATTGTCTTGTTTTCCTAAGTATGCATTTGAAGCTGTGACATATCTCATGAGAATGCCATTGTATAGTCCCACTACGCACAAAGATCTTGTGTCCAAACTCGCCAACTTTTGCACATCTTGTATGAAACCCTTCACCTTTGATAGGCTAATGCTAAATGTTGTTTGGTGAAAAAATAGTCCCTTCACTCTAGGATCCCATGGGCAAGCTGTTAGTAATCCATCATTTAAGCTGTCTAGGCATGTGCCAGATGATTGGAGCCGATTTTGGTATCCAATTATAGGGTACCCCGTAAAGATGACACCTGTTTATTTTTGGAAAGATGATCAATATATAGTTAGTCAACTGTGTATGTGGCTCGTTTTTTAATTCCAAGTATCTACTCATTTCAGACACATTTATATCTAGTGATTGGACTTAAGTCCATATATTGTATAGCACTATAATAACTAATGACTAACAAATTTAAATAGTACCATTGTTGGTCAGTCCATAAGAAGCTCCTTTTAAGAATAACATGGCTGTATCTGCACTTGTGCACTTTCCATACGCGTCATTGAGTAATTCCTGATTTTCCTCTGCACATGAACAAATAGATGAATTCATATTTAAAAATTTGATTTGACTTAAAAGTAATCTTAAATGAATATGTGTGATGGTGTCAAAAATAAATGAAAATGTGTGATGGATATTGATATAGGCAGGTGGCTGGAATGATTTAGGGAGAAGAGTTTAGCATTAGCAAGTAAGAAATGTCTTTGAATTATACACCCTTATTAAATAGGAGACTTGTGATAAACTCATTCATATATCCTTACTATTGGGTAAGAGTTGTGATCCCAACTAGAAAGAATTCATGAAAGAACATAGGCAGCTTGGCTTGACCCTATCCCGATTTAAGGCAATTTCCCTACATTTTAATAAATTTAATAAATTTTGACTGAGGTAGTTTTTTGAAAAAATTAAAAAAAAAGTGGTGACCCATATAACTGAATGAACATTATAGACATCATATTTAATTATTTACTACTTCCGCATTAATGAATAAAAATATCATTTACAACTTGTTTGTGTGGTTACCTCAACTTGTTTTTATATATATATACTTCGTATATTTTCTGTGAAAGTGATCCCTGGAATTCATGTGAACGGTAAAAATTTTAAAAAGTAGTTCGACATTCTATCCAGAACGGAGTATGGATACAAACTGTGGATAGATATACATTTTCATTGCATTCTTATGTGAAATATATCTACTAGAGGATGATTTTTTTTGAAAGACTAGAGAATGAAAAGTTATACGGAGTATCTAATAATTGCATATAGTATTACAAAAGAGTAGATCCTATGGTACCCTTAAGGTACCATACCTTTGTCCACATGGATCAATAGAAATGATGCAATTGAATTAATTAAATCTAAATTAAAAGGAATAGAATGGTTTGGACCAATCAAATGCATGGTAGATACGATACACCAATTTTTAAAAGGGTACCAGAGTTGTCATCTTACAAAAGAGGTACAAAAAATGTAAAAAAAATACTCCGTATACAATATCTATATTTATCAAAAAAGTGGTGTTACGTTACTCTCTACCGTACCCAATCCAAACACTTTATTGGGCCAATTCGCACCCGGTCCAAGTACATATGGCCTCAAATGACACACTATGATTTCGTTTGGTAGTTTACACGTTAAATCTTTGCACGTGAAGTGATTGCAAGCAAAGTATAGAGAATCAATCATTTTGCGTGTAATTTATTTTTAAATTGCAAAGTAATTACTTCACATCCTACCAAACGCCCCCTATGTGTGTATTAGTAGTTAGTATAATAGTAAAGAAATTGTTGCTCAATATTGCAATAAAAGCACACACAAAGTTCAAAAATAAGGATAAGTATATTTATATCCCTAAATAGGATTATTATGCCGTATTAAAACAAAAACATGATTAAAACTTCCCAAAGTAGAAGTAAATCAGTCATATTTTAGAATACAACATTAACAGTCCTATTTATGAATTTTATCTGTATTTTAATTCTATTTGGAGGATTTTCTCTACATGGTATCATGCAAAACTTGACATTTTTCTTTTTGAAAATTTTTGTATGACTAATATTCATTTTTTTTTATACTCTATCACAATCATATATTTTGACTTTATTCATAGTTTTTTAACCACGAGTGTGTCCCCAATTAGGACTTGGATGAATCTTAAAAGATCATGGATTTTGAAATTCGAAAGATTCTACAAGACAAATCTATTAAAATCCATCCAAATAAGTAACAATAGAAATCCATGAAATGTTTGAGGACACTGTTATTTTCATGGTTTCCACAGAAATTCAAATCGGGGACACCTGAGTTCTGATGAAATTCTAAACTCCATTAAAATCCTTAGCCAAATCGGGGAGACCTCTATGATCCAAGTCGAACCAAGAAATATTTTATAGAAGTGAGGGCGTATGCATCTAATAATAAATAAACTCCTAAACCAACCAAAGATTGACGAAATAGCAATTTTAGTCTAACTTCTAAGCTAACCTGCAATTCTTATGAAGTTTAACAAAAGCGAAGACATGGATCGGAATCCCAAGAAGTCATTAAGGCCATCGCCGGACGTGTTTGTCTGGACACGATCATCAACGCGATACACGACTCTTCGCTGGCTTGGAAACCAAGTGATATCTCCAAATTCGTGACGGGATCCAAACGTGGCTGCTTCTTCCCCCAAATTTGTGTCATTTTCCTCCACGTAAGTTACTGACCGTTTAAACATCGGTTCAAGTTTAAGGGTCACCTTTTCATGCAACAATATATAAATGATAGTTTTCCTTTGCTAGATAGTGAAACATAAGTTACCTCCTAATAATCTATAGTTTGTGACATATTCATAATAATCAGGAATCTTAAAATTACAAATATGTCCCCTACTATAGATTATTACTCGTGGAATAAAAAAAGGGAGGATAGTATCACCTTCGGCTCATTGAGTATTACCAATGTCCAAAATGCTTTGTATTGAATGTGAAGAAAAAGTATGATTGAGTTACGTGGAGTAGAGCGTAATAATTTTTTTTGGGTAAAGGAAAAAGGCAATTGACAAAGTTCTCTAAGATAGACGAAAAAGTGTTGTTCGCACACTACTATTAAGTGAAGAAAATCAGTACTAAATAAATTTAATTAATTTGAATGTTTGGGCATATATACAACTTTAAATATGTGCAGTTAAATTTATGTCATACATTTGTATAAATTAAACAAATAGCATAACTAACTTATTTAAATGAATAAAAAAACATGATTCCATAAGTAACTAAAATTATGTCACCTCACATTAGCTACAAAAGTGTTATGCACTTAAAAAACATAATATAGGCTATTAATTTGTCATATCATATTTATTTAAGCTATGTGGCCATTTAACCCTTTAATTAATTGTATTTAGCGCATGATGTCACAAATTATCACCAAAAGTATCGTCGAGCTTCCGAAGCACAATGGAGAGTAGAGACGATGCTTGCGGTACTCAACTTTATTTCACCCGCTATGAATCCTACGATGCGATTAATATAATCATGTTACTATTTGCGATGTTTACTTGTGAATTAGTCTGTATTATAAAGGAAAATGCACTAAAAAGAAGAATAATAATTCATAAATGTACAAAATAGGACTATAATATAGTGTCCATTTAAATATCATGAAAATGACATTATTATTGTTTAAAATTTTGAAATTTTGCTCTCAAATTGCCATCACATTATTGATGTATCACGAGAACTTAATTCAAATATTTAATGGGAACAAAAATGAATGCAGCGAATAAAAAATTAGGAAAATGTGCCGCCCGTAAGTTTACAAAAGATAAAAAGTCTCCCACAATTCCACAAATACCTGCTTCTTTGTCACTTTGCCCACGCAGAAAAGGAATGGAGTAAAAGTAAAGATACCATAAGTTCATAACGACAATACCTAACACCATTGATGATGATGAAAAGTTGTAGGAAATGAGTTTTATTTTGATGATATATACCGAAAGAAATTACACTTTTTCATTGTGATTGAAGAATGTGTTTGGTAATTTCGAGATTTAATTAGTCTATCAAATGAATCTATCTAATGTAGTTGAAATTGTGATTGAAATTCACAATGTAAGAATTGGTAAAGATCTATCGGCAAATTATAAATTATTCATAACTTATGAAAGAAAACAATAAATTAAGACCAATTACTAGAAAATCACGTTTTCCTAATGTGAACTTGCGAAGTATCCTGTATGGTACGGCCTACGTAGTACACATAATATTGTCATTTAACATGTGAAAACTAGACAATAGTAGACTCAGAATGATTCTTTGTTCTAAGAGGTGAATCTCCCACCCCAAGAGTCCCCACATCCCGACCCGACAGAATGATAGAGAGCTAAATCACGACGATTCAGTCAGCCTAATAAAGTAGACCTTATACAAGTGCACACCAAAATTCCAGCACAACATGCAGGAGTTGTAACCTCAACACGGTCGTTGCGGGTTTCGAACATTAGTCATTGTTCCAAATTTTTCACTACTCAACCAACTAAGCTACCCGTGCAGATGACTTATAATGATTCTAGAGTTTACACTATGTCATCTCAACAATATGACCTAAAAAATACTCCTCCCTCCCGAAGGGTTCACCCTTTTTTTTATTTGTGTGTTTTATTTAAAGGTTTTCATTTCATTCTAGGAAATAATTACTCTCTTAAATTATACTCCTAATCAATTTTCTGTTTTCTACTCGTTACGAACTCACAATTCCCGGCCCGCCAACTTATCTCCATTTAATTACTTTTACTTTAAATGTTTACTTTTTCCAAATTTTGTCTTTTCTCTCTTTTTACTCAACTTGCTTTATTTAACCATTTACCTAAAAAAATATTGTGTCATTTACACTCAAGAACCTTAAAAAATACGTTTCTTTTGCAAAAAAATGTATGTTCCAATCGAAAACTCCTTAAAATTGACAAACTTATTGGTTATTAAATCACATACGTAGTACTCCGTATACTTCGTATTTTACAAATGAGTAAACGTACCTGTGAGATCACTCCAAGAACTCCTAAAGAAACCCTTGCTGCATTTATCTCCAGATCACCTTCACCAAGCTGCCGGACGGCGGCATACCCTTTCTCCGGCGACGCCGGAGTGACAATCCGAACCCCGACAACGTAATCATGAACGGAGCTCCCCCGGCCCCATAGCGAACTCCCATGAGCTCCGGTCCCCATCATCCCTCCCACCGTCACCCCCCACCAGTACGGCGCGTGCGGCAAAGCCAACCCCGCCTCCGCCGCCACGCTGATCAGTTCCCGGAGACTCACCCCGCTCTCCACCGTCACCGTCATGCTCCGGTTATCAACTTTCAACGTCCGGTTAAGGAGTTTGGTACTGATGAGTAGACCGTCGTCGCCGTCCGGGCAGACCAGCTTGGGAATGCTGTGGGAGAACCGGGTCGTGACTTTCATTTTCCGGTTCTGTTTGGTGGCGTTCGAGACGACGGCGAGGAGCTCCTCCTCGGTTCTCGGGTACGCCACCGCGGCGGCGCGGCAGACGGCGCGGTCCGGGAAGGCGCCGTAGGAGTTGGTGACGGTGCAGTTTTTGGTGGCGTTATTATGGGTGCATTTAATGGGATCCTCCGGCGGAGTGGAATGCACCTGTAATAAGGTGATCATGAAGAAAGCATACCAGAGGTCAGCATAGCAGAAAGAATAGGCCATTTCTTCTCTCTTTTTTGTTCAGTGTGGGAGAAGGAGGATGTATGGCAGCTATATTTATTTGGAAGAAAGGGGACCATTACATCCAACGACTTTTGGACACAATAACATATTGCCTCATCCATCAATTTAATGAAAATGTAGTAGTTAAATTATTTAAATTTAAATTTAAATTGATAAAGTGATGTGGTCCAGTCAAATGAATGCTAGGTACGATACCACTATTTTTAGAAAGGTACCGGAGTTTTCACCTAATAAATTTTATGTGACAATTCCGGTATCCATTCAAAAAATGGGGTATCATATCTACCATTAACTTGATTGGTCCACATCATGATATCATTTTTAATTTAGATTTAAATAATTCAACTGCAACATCATGTTTGGTCCATGTGGACAAATGTATGATACCTTATGGGTACCATAGAAACTACCTAAATTTTATAGTTATTATACTTTCTCCATTCTTTTTTAATTACAACGGTCCACTTTTCGCGCTTGTCTATGGACAAATTTGACCATTAATATCTTTCATTCTTTATTAGTAAAAAATTTAAAAAATCATATTTTGAAAATTTAAAATGAGAGGAATTTAATTTTTTCAGAAAAAATTTAATTAAGTATACATTAATTTATAAAATATAGTCAAAGTAGAATATGTGAATAGTACAAAGTCAAATGTTGCAATTAAAAGAGAATGGAGGTAGTACTAGGTTTCAAGCCCGTGCATCGCACGGGCGGTACGTAATATATCCAATTTTAAAAGTGATTTTTTAAATCATATATAATGTGATGCATAAGCAAAATAAACTCATGGGTTGTTTACTCTCAATTTAATAGACTTAATGACGATAATGACTTAATCATTCATTCACTAAGTAATGTTTAATTAGGACTTAATTGGAAGCGTGATTTAATCATTCAATCAAAAAATCGACTTAATTATTAAACTGGATAATAGCAGTCCTTCCCATTAAGACGTCTATTAAGACATTTTTTCTTGTCAATTTTTTTTAATTGGTTGTTGACAAAATTTATATTAATAAATGAAGTTTTCCATTGACACTATAATCTAAGAAATTGATTATATTAGTTGATTCAGACTGTTTATTCAGCATACAAAAATAACAACTTCATATACAAATATCATTTTATCCCGACATACATCTTAACCTAGATAGACATCTTAATCCAGACAGGACTTTAGTCTTATCTCTTCAAACAGAGGAGAAACTCGATGAAAACTGAAATTTATAAAACTGAATAGTGAAACAGTGAAAGCATACTTTAATTTACATTCTCTTCCTTTTTATAATAGCAAGTGTTCAATTCTACGTAGATTTTTATGTTTCTAAAATCCGAATATAGAAACACAAAATATAGCCTGCTTAAGGCAGGCTATATTTTTAGGTTTGTAAAGTTCTAAACTTATGTTTCTAAAATCCGAAACACAAAATATAGCCTACGTAGGTTTGTAAAGTTCTGAATATGTAAAGTTCTGAATTTAATATTGAAGATTCTTTAAACTTGGATTCCCTTGCTACGGTCATCAACCTCAAATTCTTTACCTAGGTTTGATGTTTCTAAATTTTGAAATTAGAAATTTAAAATATATCCTACACAGTATGTGATTTTGAGGTTGCTAAAGTTACCAAGGTGGATTTCTATATCAACATGTAATAAAAATAGAATGTAATAAAAAAAACAAAAGGTATAAAGGTAATTAAAGAATTGTTATATATGATGACATGACAAGATTATGTGATGCGTCGTATGCTCTTAAAAAGTTCCTCTTTTATATATATTGATTGATTTGTGCTAAATTTATAAGTAAGTAAAATGTTTACTTTTATAAAAAAAATATGTTTAGAAAAGAACGTTTCCAAAATCTATTAATAAATCCTATTCAATATTCCGAGACTCCAAAGTTTTGTGCCGAATAAGACCGTGTCTTGAATATCCTGTTTGGTAACATTTTAAGTAACCGAGTTGATTGAATCCGATGAAATTATGGTTGAAGCGGCTGAATTGTTTGAATCTTTTCAATTATGTCTAAAATACAATTTATTAATAACATAACGAAAAATAGAAAAAATAATGGTTGAAGGATTCTCTACATTAACTTAAGTCAGTTCAGTTTTAAAAGTAAAAAAGAATGACAAGGGATTTATATAAACTATTATTCAAATAGGTGTTGATGACTATAAATTTGTTTAGGTTGCGGTGGCTACGGTAATAAACGTGCAGTAACCCAATATTATTGATACAAATATAAAGAAATTTATGCACACTATTATTCATTGTTTATCCATGAATGGGAATACTTATCGATCAATTTGGAGCAACACAAAATTATTCATATATTTCCTTTCATACTACTCCGTACTTTACATTATAGTATTATACATAAGGAAAAATGACACATCTATTACTTATGGGATACGTGTGGACATAAATAGCAGTGAGAGCTAAAATTGGACAAAAAACTGACTCCCGTATGAATGAATAGTCTTAAATACCCTTTGGCATACCCTTACGGCCTTACCTGTCGGTCTAGATCTTCCCAGCCATTCAATCGCAGACATCAATCATCTCCCCAATCAATTCAATCACACTTGGAGGGGCATGGTGGCTTGGGCGTGGTGGTGTTGGAGGAGTTGGGACGTGGTGATGCTAGAGGGCCTAAGGCATGGTGGTGCCGGAAAGGTAGGGGCTGGGTGTCGTAGGGGAAGGGGTTGGGTGTCGCAGGGGAGAGGGCTAGGTGAGGAAGGGGTTGGGTGATGCAGGGAGGGGGGACTGGGGTGTGGTGTTGGCGGTGGTGGTTGTTGGCGGTGGCCTAAGGTGGTTGTTGCCGGCGGTGGCGAGAGGTGGTTGTCAATGGTAATTATTATCAGACCCGGATAATTGTAAATTGTCGAACCCAATTACTGCAATTGTAACGGTTATTGAAAGAGTCGGGTAATTATAACTGAATTGGTCGGATAACTGTCCTCGGGTCAGGTAACTGTAACTGGGCAGTCGGGTAACTTTAACTGGAGGGGCGAATAATTGTAACTGTACTGTCGGGTAATTGTAACTGGACGAGTTGGGTAACTGTAACTGGAAGAGTCGAGTAACTATCACTGAACGGGTAAACGTTGATTACTTGCAGAATTTTTGTTCACTGACGGATTTTGGATTTTTGGTCAGTGATGGATTTGGGATTTTTGGTCAATGACGGATTTAAGTCACTATAGTGTTATTGGTCATCGTGACGTTACTGTAGCATTAGTGAGTGACACTATATATTAGTAGTAGTTTTTTTGACGCGCGATGCGCGATGGGAAAATGTCCAATGCAAATGCGTTAGTAAAGTGAAACATTATCGATTAAAATAGTTGATTACTTGAAATTACACACAAACGTTATAGATAACATTTTCTCATAATCAGATTGTGAAAAGCAGAGATTTTATGAATACCACAATAACAATTCTTTATGTTTGAATGTCCATGCAAATCTAACTGGCTACTCATTTTAAATGAGCAAGTCACAGGCCAAAAGCAAGAAAGAAGAGAAAAATAGTGTTCCCCATTACCACCCTCGGGTCCCATGAAAAAAATATCTTTTTTAAGATTTTACTATGTATATATTTTTTTATTTGTAGCGCAATTTATATAAAAATATACCAGAGTTTAGAACTTTGTATGATATTTCATATGGCACATATATTGCATGTATAAAGTTTTAAAAAATCTAAATTTTTAACTGCTAGAATTTTTAAAGAAAAAACATGAAACACAAATTAACTAAACAATAGTGCCTCCATAAATAACCAAATATTACATGAACCCAATTTATTTTTATTAACCGAAATAAGTTTAAAAAAATTAATAGATTTTTTTTACATTAAAATGTCCATTTTTTTATTTCAGCATTCTTCAAATAAAAATCAAAGAAAACATTGTTTATAAGTTATAACAAATAACAAATTCATCAATGGTTTACTATACTACTAAGTAAAGAAATATGCTTAGAGAATTTCATTGACAGTGCCCAAGTGCCAAGAAAAATTTACAGTCTTATCATATAGAATTGAAGGAGTTTATATTTAAGTTTTCTAACGTGTACAAATCCAGATTGGGTTATCCTCAAAAAGTCAAATACATGTATGCATAACATTATTATCTTCTTAAAAGAAAAGCAATTGAGGTGGATAAGAAAGTTTTACACTTTTACTTAAAATTGTTTTCTAAGTTTGTTTTATCCCATATATTAGTAGGATGTCCTTTTTTCCATTAATTATTACCTCCGTCCCAAAAAAATTATTATTTTTAAAACTTTGACTAACTATATATTTTTATTGGAAAATATTTATCATATAAAAGTTATATGAAAATATTTTTTGTTAAAAACAATTTCCTAAAAGTATAAAATTTATAACTTCCACAATATTATCCCAATCAAAATCATGATTTAAATTTTATGGAAAGGTAAAGCTTTTTTGGGACGAATGTAGTACATGTTTTTATGTAGAAAAAAAATTAGCAAAAGAATGAAGAAATGTCTAGAAATAAATAGTGGGAAAAAAGGGATAAAAAGATTCATGTGTGATGGAACACATGCAATCCTAAATCATACTGTGACCGGTCATTGGTCCAATCTTCTCATAACTTAAGCATACAAGAAATATGTAATAGACAAGGGCGGCCCTGAGGGGGGCAAGGGGGGCAGTGGCCCTAGGGCCCAAGAAAAGAAATTTTTTTAGGCCCGAAAGTATTTCCTTATAGTATGTTTGAGTAGGCTGATTTTTAGCCCAAAATCATTAATTTTGTGCAACCCAACCAACCCAAATGCCCAAAAAAAAACACGGAGTATTCAAGGAATGTATTCAAGTAATTTTTTATTTGATTATTTTGAAAAAGTGATTCGACTATGTTTAACTTAACAAATTCAAGTATTTTCTTTATTATAAAGGCCTTCACATATTACGTAGTATTATTTTACATGTTAATTTAGACAAAAAATAGATTTTACATTTT